GTAATGAGAGCATTTTCAAACACACTTTCAAACTGTGTTCAAGTTATGGGTGTGGGTAAACGTGTATGTTTGTGCGAGCATGTGTCTTTGAAATTGTGTGTTTTTGTCAAAACGCGGTAAGAAGAGTTAATCACTTCCTACAGCAGTGCCATGGGAGCAGGCTCGGCTACGAGAGAGACAGAAAGAAAAGAGAATTGCAACGGAGTGGGGGGTGCAGGGCTGCCCCGCAGTGTTTGAGCACAGTAAAGCGAAATGCTGCAAGCCTATGAATAAACAGTAACTCAATATGAATACAGCATCTGAGATGATTTGAAAGATCTGCTGTGCAGAAGTCATTAATAAACCAAAGCCAAAATCTGTTTGTACCAACACTAGCACTGACTTGAGGATAAATCATGTATAATACTCTCCAGAGTGCAGTAAAACTCTACTTTTACCAGAGTTTATTTGGACTATTTGACAGGATGTGTCCTCATTCGGTGTGTGTGTTTGTGTTGCTGCGCATGTAGCGTTTCATCTACAGTTCTTGGAGTGTAGCTACAGGTCATCTTTTAAGTAAACAGCAAATGTGCAGCACTGTTCAACTGGGGATTTCCAGAGAAAGCAAGCAACTGAAACATGGTCACTTTGTAAATAAACCCATTCTTAATAGGACCGGAGAGATCAAATTCTGACTCACTTACACAAACATATACACCCTTCTGTTTCTGGCACAAAGACACACAGACACACAAGGTAAATTCTAAAATTCATATTCACACTGTTACACTTTGTTATGTCCCTGTTCAGTGCATAACTTCTGCTGGGTTGCTGTGCCTCATTTCTTGATAAATGATCTGTCTAGGGTACTTAATCAGACATGTTCTCTCTCTCTCTCTCTCTCTCCCACACACACACACACACACACACACAGGCATGCCCACATATCACATATAAATATCGCAAACACACACAAATCACCAAGGCAGATGCACACATGTTTGACAGATTGAGGGCAGGGTCAGAGAGATGCTGTGTTTGTTACACGTGTGACAGTTTTACAATATGCTCCGGGGATGTGTAATTCACTATGTGGATGTGATGTGACGTAAGTGAGAAGTGATGTAAATGAAGTGTGTGTGTGTGTAAGGTCAGTGATTGCACAGCCTAGTCTTGTGCATGATCAGTGAGCCCCGAATGTTCAGGATGTTACTGCAAATAAAATGAATTAATCTGATAGAGAGCTCTAAGGGTTCCACTCCACTACTTTTATTTTGAAAAAATGAAATCACCCACTGCTATACTTGTGGAAAGAACAACTACACAACTGAGAAAGACAGAGAGAAGGAGGTGGATATTTAAAAACATCACTGAATATCAAACAAGCTCAGGCCTCAGAAGCTGACTCTGTTTCGTCTGATTTTCCCCACAGTCAGACACAGACAGGGAGGGAAACACAGAAAGGAGATGGAGGGATGTTAAGATAGGCTGTCTGAGGGTAAAGGCTAACAACAGTATTTTGGGAAGATAGAGAGGCAGAGTTGCAGCACTCGCAACATTCTGGGCTCTTTGCAATCAATGCAACCATAGTATAAAGGTCAGCTGCTAAATCAGCAACACCACCAGTAACCAGTATTAGGGATGCAAAGGTGGAGGGGCACATTGCTCCTGAGAGGACAGATGGCTCAAGAGGGAGGTGATGATAATTGCAAATATTAAAATTGGAGCTTGAAATCAGTGAGAAAGAGGCATGGATTAAAGGACTGAAAAATGACAATGTTCAGTGGTTGATGTGACCGGAGGGCCCCCTCCACTCGTCGTGTGTAACGTTTTGCAATTTCACAAAGTGCCGCCATACCCACGCGCACACTCTCTTCATTTGTTGGGGCAATAATCACTTTTTACCTCTCAGTCCTGCGACCTTCAACTAACCATCCAGTGATGCTGAGAGCAACAGGCAGACCGGTTGCCTGGCAACCAATCCTCTTCTTTTTTCTCCTCTCATTCTTACAGTAGGAGTTGAAAAGGGGTGCTTGGAGTATAGAGCTTGTGAGAGAGAAAGACAAGGTGGGTGGAAAAGAGAAGAAAAAACAGGTATGATGAGGAGAATAGGTGAGAGCCAGAAAGACCAGGAATGATAAATGTGAATGTAAGTGTGAAGTTTCACAGCACACGCTGACACGAAACAAACGCTGGACCATTGATACAGGGCAGAGAAATAAATACCGTCCAGACCTTCAGACACTGTGTGATTTGGTCCTTGATTAAATTTTAATCTGGGTGTAATATTTATTGGTTATACACAGCACAAACTAATCATCTACCAATCGATAATAAAAAATCACAGAATTTATTTATTTATTTACATATGAAATTCTTCTTACAAAGTATCGAATTTGTCTGTCTGATATGAGGAGAATTGCGAGTCTGACTATTTCAGACCATAAATATTCAAAAGTCAATAAAAAGCTGGAAGAGGTTCATACAGAATATAAAGTAAAGTCAGTGCAGAAAACAATGATTTAAAACTTTACTCTTAAGGGAACGAGTGGAATAAAATTATGGCAAAATATGAAGTTATTAGTCTATGTAGAAAGATACCAAATGTGAATACACCCATACTTAGACATTTTTGTATATGTTATATTCTTTATCTCTGATTTCAGTCATTGTTGTAAAGTTTGACTATGGCTCATTTTGCTTGGGGAAGCCCTTAAGCCACCGCCCCCTGCTCCAATCATTCCTGGGCCCCATTTCTGAGCTACATCTCCAGGCAGCTCTCGTTGTACATCACTCTGTAAAATACATTTATCGTTCAATATTCAGTGACTCATTTGAGCAGCATGACAGTTTGACAGCAGGCATTCCAATGTACCATAAGGAGGTAACATTGGATGTAATGAGATTTGTTGGGATGGGGGGAGGTGGGAAGGTGCAACGTGAATGTGAAACAAGGTGAGTGAGAAAACTGAAGGGATGGTGGATAAATAGATGAAGTGAATATGAGGGTGGGAGGAATGGTGGAGACTAGAAATGAGCTACCTTTGAACTGCTGTGTGTCAGAGGATCCAGCTTTCTATTAGTTCTCAGCACTCTGCCAGGAAATGAGAGTCAAGGGAGGACATGGGACTGCGTTCAATCCAGTCTAGTTGTTGCTCTCTCTGGCTGGTGTCTGTACTTCTCCATCCGTACCTCTCCTCCATGTTACCTCTCCCCTCCTCACGCTGTCTTTGCTCTGCTGTCATTACTCTCTCTGGCAATCTCCCACCTCCTCCTCCTCCTCCTCGCTCATTACTTTTTGCCATCTTTTGTCTCCCTCAGCTAGTCCTCTGTCTATCTCACCTTCTTCTCTTTCTGCCCCATCTCCTTCGTCTCTCATTCTCCTCCCCTCCGTGTCCTCCTCTCCAGCATCATTGCAACTGGAGTGATTCACCTCTCCTTTGTACTCTCAGTCATCACTCTTTCACCAGTTTCCCACTGCTCAGCTTAGGCCCCCAGGCAGTAACGCTATGATGGAACATGCCTCCGATATCTTTTATTATCTGCTTGTGCTTTGCTTTTAGAGGTACCCAATTATCTTAATTCTAAATTGAATTTGGTTCCAGCTCTGTGATTGTTGTTGACTCTCATAATCCATTTTTATGAAAAGGGCTTTGCTCCAATGACTACTAAACTAATGCTGATACAAAGTCATTTGCTTGGCAGCAATTATGCTTGGAGTTGTTAGTTGTATTAATTTTTCTACGAAGGGAGTGGGTTATTTACTAAGCTCAGAATTGAGGCAAGCGTGTTAATTTGTTGCAAGCGCATGGCTGTAAGCTCACTTGTACATGCAGTGTGTTTGTCAGTGTCCACCAGTGTCCAGAATAATGTTTCAATTACCTACTACACGATAATAATCTCAATAAGGACAATATTTAAATGTTGGCTCTGTAAATGTATTTACAGAGATTTTTCTTTTAGTGAATCAATTTGAACAATTGCAGAAAGTCAGAAATTGTTGATTTTTCTTTTTTTGGCCTGTCAAAAATATCAAAAAAACAAACTTATTTTCTCTTGAACATTTCACAGTCAGTGTGACCCTTTTTCTTTCTGCTTGATTGCTGGATCGTGGTCACATTAGTTTGTGTTTCTTCCGCTTGTTACCCATTGCTCCTAATATAGTCCTCAAACCACTCTGTGCTTTTAAAGTGTTACTTGTATGAGTACATGGAGGGGTTTATTTCTAAAGCACATCAGTAAAAATGTAATTCAGACATGCTGTGTCATATAGCCGTTGTTGAAGTGCCACTTCCTGCTGCGTGGTAATCAAACTGGCGCTGTTGTATCGCTAACTCTAATAACAGTTCATATCCTTTCATCCACTGGAAGCTGCAAATCTGTTTGGGCCTTTCAGAGTTTAAGACTAATGGGTCATCATTCTTTGGTGCGTTACAAAAATACATATTCCTAAAAGATCAGTCTTTTACATGGTGACATTGTATCGTGTAATAGGAGGTTTTGATGATTGATCAGTAAAAAAAATCAAATAATTCTGATATCTGACAGACTGGTGCGGACATTATAGGTCTCCTGTGATAAAGAGAGAGCTGAGTTTAAGAGTGAAGCTGTAGCTTTACCACTCAATCTATGTTCCCACCTAAGGCCACAACCCCTGGGTAATGACCAAAAGAAGGAGTTTGGGGATGTAAGCAAGCAAAAACGGCTTACTTTGGGTGACGATATGAGCTCAGACATCATTAGAGACTCAAAAGAGAGCTGGTGCTACTGAAAGGAGCCAGTTGAGGTAACATCTGGCTAGGATGCCTCCTTGGCAGTCTAAGCTGCTGCCCCTGCAACCTGTACCCAGACAAGCGGCAGAAAATGGATTGATGGATGGATGATTTTAGAAAACTGTTTCTTAAAAATTTTTCATTTTTAAAATATATAATTACTATAATAATTGATGACAGTAAGATTATGTATTTGTGCAGTTACTTATCACAGGTGGTAACAAGCTTCTTCCTTGTTTTGTTTTACAGGATGGCTACTCCCAGTATCACTTTGTGGGCTCTGCCTCAACAATAGAAAGAGACCGGCAGAGGCCCTATTCTTCCTCAAGAACTCCCTCGGTCTCTCCTGTAAGGACATCTCCAAATAACCGCTCTGGTGAGAAACTCGTGGCACTCCCTATACAGATGCTATGCATACATGTTTTCATTCATTCTTGTGTATCTCTTAACAGCCAAGATTAAGACCTCATATCTAAAAAATGTTTCACTTGGTTGTGTGGTTAGTTAAATATCTCATGGCCAAACAGGCTATGGGTCTTGTGATGGTGCACATCATCAAACTGAAACAATCTTTGTTTTCTGAAACAAAAAAATACTGAAATA